CCAAGCTTTGCCACCCTGAGTGAAAGAGCGGTAAGAGCCTCCATCCCCGCCTCCTCCCCTCACGCGCCTCGGAGGAGAGCGAGGTCCACGGCTCTTCTTGTTCTCGCCCCCAAAACGTCATGTTCACGCACCGTTTGTCCTCCCCGCTTGCAGGAGACTACTGGATCGACCCGAACCAAGGCTGCACCTTGGATGCCATCAAAGTTTTCTGCAACATGGAGACAGGCGAGACCTGCGTCTACCCCAACCCCAGCAGCATCCCCAAGAAGAACTGGTGGACCAGCAAGACCAAAGACAAGAAGCACGTCTGGTTTGCAGAGACCATCAACGGCGGCTTCCACGTGAGTGTCCCCGCGAGCTGCTGCGGCACACCGGGAGCGGGGAGGGAGGTTGAGCAGGGGAAGGTGTTGGGTGGCTGGTTGGAGGGTTGGGATGTCCTTCCGTGGGGCTACGTTGATGGACGTTATACGAGGGACAGGCTGTTCTCAGGGACTACATTGAAAGCTTGGAGTTAGGTCAGCTGGGCCGTGATTTTTGCAGCGATCTGGGAACATAAAGTACGGGAATCCCCCTCAAAAGGCGGCTGAAAATAGAGTTGTTGCAACACCCGCAGGCTTTAACGTCTCGCCTCTTCCCTCCAGTTCAGCTACGGCGATGAAGACCTGTCTCCCAACACGGCCAACATCCAGATGACCTTCCTCCGCCTCCTGTCCACCGAAGGCTCCCAGAACGTCACTTACCACTGCAAGAACAGCGTCGCCTACATGGACGAGGAGACGGGCAACCTGAAGAAAGCCATCCTCATCCAAGGGTCCAACGACGTGGAGATCAGAGCCGAGGGCAACAGCAGGTTCACATACAGCGTCTTGGAGGACGGTTGCACGGTAAGTCCACGGGCGCCTGCGAGTGAAAGACGTAGACGATGAGTTAGGGTTCGCCCCATGAGGTTGCTGTTGGTTTGGAGGACTCAAGTCCTCCGGTGACACCTTTCCTCCCCGTTTTCTCCCCAGAAACACACTGGCAAATGGGGCAAGACAGTCATCGAGTACCGGTCGCAGAAGACCTCGCGCCTGCCCATTGTAGATATTGCACCTATGGACATTGGTGGAGGCGATCAGGAGTTCGGCGTGGATATTGGCCCAGTCTGCTTCTTGTAAAAAGAATTGTTTTATTTGTGTGTTTGTTTGTTGTTGTTGGTTGTTGTTTGGTTTTTGGTTTTTTTTTTTTTTTTGGTTTGGTTTTTTTTTTTTTGTTTTTTAAGGCTGTTTTATGTTTCTCTGGATACACGCCATCTCCCTCCTCCCTCGGTTTGGTTTTTTTTGTTGTTGTTGTTCGTTTTTTTTTTAAATCCAGCCCAATACCGTAAAAGAAAACTAAAAAAAAAAAACCACCCAACGCCAAACCCACCCCAAGGAGTATTTTCCAATCGCTCGTACGACTTCTGCACTGAATGGCTGCAACGACCCCTTCGATTCACGCCCTTCCGTCGGGGACCACCGCCTCTTTCCAACGCCGTCCGGGGCAGGCTGCGAAATAAAAAACAACCCCACGGTCTTATTTATTTATTCTCTTCCTGTAAGACCTATTTTTTAGGTCAGGTGGAGGTGGGAATCTAACTGGCAGGTACGATGGCCCTTCCCTGCAAAAGGGATCTCACAAATCCAGGTATCACGAATCCCCTCCCGTCCCCATCCCTCCCCCCTGTGTATCACCAGCAGGAGTGCTAATGTATAATACGACAAAAAAAGGCAAAAAAAAAAAAATGGTGCTATTCTTGTAAAACAAGTCTGTATTTTTTAACATCAGTTGATATAAAAAAAAAAAAACCTTTTGGTGGAAAGTACAAGTTGAGCCGGGTTTTGGTTTTGTCGCTCTCCAGAGGCGTTTGCTGCGGTCTGACTCCTTTCTCCCCGTTTCTCAGCTGTCGTAAAGGAAGGTTTTGGGTCAAATATCCAACTTTTCTGGGTTGAGGCTACCTCCCACTAAGGCACAAAACCCCCAAACCCAAATAACTCCCCCCAGAAGCTGAAGAAAGGGAGGGGCAAAGCGTTTTAAGTAAAAAATCTTGAAACGCCGGGAGCCAAAGCTGTGAGGTTTCTGCTAAGGGATCTCTCGTCCCATTGCACCCCTAAACCGAACTGGGGTGACCCAAGGCAAGCGCTCGGGACACCAGTTACAGGAAACCAGTAAAACCAGTGGGGAGGGGGACACCGAGACCAAGCCTCATGCAAATTATTATGGCCTCTAACCCTCCTCGCCGCTGCCTTGGTCCCATTTTGTACACGTAAAAATACAATTTCAGGATGTCTTTCGCGATACCGAAGGCAGCGGCGTTCGCCGCCGTCGCGTGCGCACGCTGGCGTAACGCGCCTGCGCCTTTACGGTTTAATGAAAAGTTACATACGTAAATCCTTCTCTTACAAGGTTTGCTAATTAGAGGAAAAGCCTCAGTAGTTGATTATTATTTCGGTTTTTTACTATATCTTAAAGAAAATTAGCCCAAAGACCCCAGGAGAGGTGCAAACACACTCGAGCTTTACGCGCGGGACGTAAGAGGCGGCTGCTGAGCGGGGAGTCCGCGTTTCATGCCAGTTAAAACCGCAGCTCTCTGCATCCGTCGATAGCAGGGGCACTGCAGTTCTTCATCATGAGAAATTACGGCTTTATAGGATTTGAAAAAAAAAAAACAAAACACTTTTAAAAAACGCTACTTTGGGGCCCTCATCTCAATTTTAAACGCTGGCAGCGCCGCAGCCGCCGCTCCCGCTGCAGCACCTGAGGCAGGCTCCCCCGGGGCGGGGGCCTAAAATGAGGCAGGCTCCGCAGGGCTGGGGTCTTGAAAAAACATTGGCAGAAGAAATTCATTAAAAGGGATTGAAGGATTAGGAAGGATTTTTCAAAATAAAACGCCCTTTAAAAGGCCAAAGTGCTTTGCCACATGACCCGGGGGGGGGCACCCCTAATTATTAGTGCTCTGGCTCCCCGCCGCTGGCTGGCGCACAACTAATTCCAGGCAAAATCGTTCTGTTCAGCCAAGCGGCAGGTTTGGGGTTCCTGCTGCAGGCACCCCCTGAGCCCCCCCCACCAAAATCACCTAGTGACCTAAAAAAAAAATGACCTAAAAGCGACCTCCCCCCAGCAGGCTGCTTTTAAGAGCTGGGTTATCTCAGGGGCTGCAGCCAAAGACGGCAGCGGGGGGAAAGGCAAAGCTGGGGAGCAGGAGGCTGCGGCATCCCGCAAGGAGAAACCGAACCAGCGGGAAGCGAGGGCTGGGAGGGAGGAAGCTCGGGAAACGAGATGGATAAAGAACCAAAGTTTGCGATTTCCTCATCTTCCTTGGACGAGACGTTCGACTCATCATAAATCGGGGTGGGGGTCACGAAAGCTGCGCGAGAAGCTCGTGACCAGGATCACCGGGGACGGCGCAGCGTGACAGCCGCTGAGGTTGGGTGGGTGACGCCGGTCCCGGCTGCCCCGGGTGGGAATGGAGGTGCTTCGCTGCTCCCCCGTTGAGTTTCTTGGCCCTCACTCCCCAAAAATCCTCAGCAAAACAGGTACTTCTGGGCAAAAGATAACCAGTCATGAGGCTGAGCGCTAACTCTAGGACAAAGTTTGATTTCTAGAGGAGAAAGCCAGAGCTTTTCAAACACAGGACACCGCACCGTAACATACAACTCGGCTTTAATAAGTAGAATTCAGCTCTAGAAACCCCGCTAGGCAGAAATGCCACTTCTTAAACCAGCAAGGTGTGGTTTTACTTCACGCTCGCCCAAAATAAAGCGTCCTTTATCGTGAACTGCTCAGATCCGTTTCCCTCGCAGCCTGTACCTGTGCACGCACACTCGCACAACCTCGCATCCAACAGGCAGCCAGACAGGGGTAGGTGCAGGCAGAGGGGAAACGAAGGCAGCTGCGGCGATCAAATTCCAGAAAAACTACAAAGGGCGGCAGCAGAATGAAATCCTCCGAGCCGCAAATGGCGCAAGGCTGCAGCGAGAACCGCGGCGGACTGAGCTTTCACGTTTATTTAAGAATGTAGCCGATGCCATCCGTCGGGAACAGCCGGCTCCTGGGAAGCAAGCCTTCGAAACACCGAACTGCCACAAAACGAATTTAAATCCGCGCTCGCTCGCGGCTGGCGCAAGTACAAAGTACCACCAAGCTACAAGTTCCCTGGTTTCAAACCCCAGCGACCCTGCAGCCGCCGAACACGGGGAAGAGGAAGGTTCAGAGCCACGTGCAGAGGAGGAGGAGGAGGAAGGGCTAATCCACACGGACCCTTCGCACGTCCCCAGCGGCGCCGCGCTTACTGAGGCCGTTTTCATTAAGACGGCGGCGTTTTGATATTGGTTTGCTGTAGGTGGCCTCAGCTGCCGGCAAACGGAATCCGCACAACAAAGAAACGCGTCTCAAAGGTTTCGATTCCTTTGCCTCTTTCTAGTGCAAGTTACAGAGGTGGAAGCCTTATCTGCGAGTTCCTTACAAGACCTTGATAAAAAGCGATTGTTCTCCTTTGAAACAAGCCAGTGACACGCTGCCACTGAACAAAAGCGGAATAAATTAATTGCACAGAACTAATTAGTTTACCCCGAAAGGATCCGACGCAGTGCTAAGCTTCAAAACAGCTGCAAAAGTCAACTCTAAACCTTCGGGATCTTCAGACCCCAAAGCATGAAACTTGAGAATCCAGCTTCCCTATCAAAAACTAGTTCTTCAGGACCGAAGAGGAAGGCAGGCCCAGCAGGACCCTGACTTTGGGAAGGGACCCGTTTGCTTGCACGTGAACACCCCCCAAGCGGGTTTTGTGGACAGGCCAGCAGTGCAGCCCAGCTGCACGTGGAAGAGTGCGAAAAAGACCCAGAGCTTTCGAGTATCTCCCATCAAAGTCACTCGCGATCCCTCTGCTTCCATTTGAAAGTTCCTGGTCCCTTCTAGAAATTCATCTGCACGACCATCCGCCCACGGAAAACACAGGCCGTGCCCTCAGGGCTTGCTCTTGGCTTCGGCTGCGCCCCGTGTCAAGGGGGACAGCAGAGGCAGAGGGTCCTGGGCAACCGTGGAGTTGGTACTGCAATCCACGTAGTGGTAGGTTTCCAAAGCGCTCTGCGTCACGTGGCCGATGTACGAGAGCTTCACCGATGTCCTGGGAGAGGGGAAGAGCAGTTTAGTGGGGACAGGGCCAGCGACAGCAATCCCTCTAGCTAAATAAAAAAACCCAGCAGGTGTTACACTCCTCACATAACTCCTCTGCCCCCTCGAAAGCTGCAGAGCCACTCAGGTTTTTGCTCAAGATTGCTTGTGGCAGCAGGCAGGGATATGCAGAGCTGGCGCGTGCGGCTCCCGGAGCACACCGCCCCTCACGTGGAAGCTCGGCGTGGAGCAATCTGGTGTCTTCTCCTCTCTGTCTTACATTTCACCCAACTGTGTCAACTGGCCTGGATTAAAAGCTGACACAGTGAACCAGGCCGGGGCACTTGCCAAGCGGGATTTTCTTCGTGTACCCTAGATTTGCTGCGGCAGCAATTCCCTTTTGAGTCAGGAGCCGAGCAGAGAACCACCTACCTCATGAAGATCACTATGTTATGTACCTTCACCTTGGGAAACGTGCAAAAGAAACTGGAAGAGACCAAAATAAAGAAACAGGTCAGCACGGACTAAGCCGGGTTGCAGAGCCACTCGCGTTTCTCGGTATCGTCTGGTGATGTTTTCCCCTTGGTGTTAACTCAAGACACAGTCAAAAACCGTGTCACAACATCCTGACAAAGTGGCCTTTCAAGTCATTTCTGGCAAACAGTTACTTTCCAGGAAGTCAGCAGAAAATGAGCCATTTCCAGAGCAAATTCTAATTAAAGCAGCTTAAACCCAGCCTCTTCCCCAGCTCTATACAAAGAGTAGTAAATCCTTACTACACATAGGAGAAAGGTCCACCCAGCTCTGCCTTCACAGTGAAATTCACCTGTAAAAGAGAAAAAAATAAAATACATTCACCTGCAGCTCTAGTACCTGCTTAAATCCACCCCTTTCAGAGTCTCTCCTACTTGCTGTTGCCTTTCAGCTGGTGTGCATAAAGCACAGGCTGCTCCAGCCATAAGACTATTTTGCCAAGCAAAACTTTAAGGTATAGGTAGGCGATCACCAAATTAACGCACGGCAGTGCGCGGGTTTC